GAAATACCATTTGTGGATAAATTGCTTTCCTTTACAGGAATATTTCTGTAATGATTTAAAAGATTAGAACACTTTCTTCCTGCTCTTAGCCACAGTAGAAAAATGAGAAATTCTTAACCTTTTGATTTTCACTTACTATGACTGCAGTCTGACTACAGTATCATATGTTCTTTGTGGCACATGATGTATGGCATATACCTACATATGCTGTAGTTAATTAAGCATAACCTCTTTATTGTGCCTTGGTTGATTTGAATAGATTTGAGGAAGTGGCCTCTCCCATCTGTAAGAACATTAATAAGGCTTGAAAAGCCCTTTTGTGGTCCTAGATATAGATTTACAAATGTCTCATATAATTATTTTTGCAGTTGGTAGAGACCGAAGAGTCAGAAGGAGTGAAAGAAGGATGGATGGGAAACTTCTGCAGAGAGAGATTAAATGGTAGGGAAGAAGGTTACCACATTTTTAGGTGCTGTTTGGAGGAAACATCTTGAATTGGTTCTTCTACTACTTTCTGAAATATCAGTTCACTGACCATGGCTTGTTTTTCTAACTGCTGTAATACTTAAATGTCAGACGAGCTTCTTTGCTGAAAAGGAATGTGGAGGTTGGGAAAGATGTTCCAATCAGACCGATGGGAACGAAGGCACAGAGAGCAGGAAGAGCACAGTAAGTCAGCTCACAGGGAAGTGCTGGGCATGTGAGGGACAGGCTGAGCAGGGTGACGGAAAGCCTAGTGAGGGGAGGCTCAGTGAAGAAAAGTTGCAGTGGCAAGAGCAATGTGATCATGAACACTGAATAATAATAATAATTTAGCAAACATTTACATAGCATTCACTATATGCGTTACGTCTATTGTCTCATTTAGTACCCACAAGTCCCTCGTGAGGTGGAGTCATTTCCCCCATTTTACTGAGACACAGAGTTTGAGTAACTTGCTCAAGGTTCCCACAGTTGAAATTTGAGCCGAGGCAGCCTGGGTCCCGAGTCCATGGTCTTCATGCTATGCTGTCTCTTAAATCTAAGAATGAAGTATAGATTCTGCCTTGTGGTTACTGGGTATTTTGGATAAGATACATAAACATTAGATAAAGAACTTTATTGAATTTGTGCGTAATGTTTGCCGATGGGGAAAGCATATAGTGACAGAATTGATTTTGATCTCTCTTCCCCCAGTTTTGAATTGGTAGGGGCAGGTGGGCTTGCATGTCTTACATTTAGTTGAGTGTTGAGAACCTCTCATTTGCTATTAGCTGTGATTGAGATAAAAGGCTTTTGATTACATAATTAGCTTTGGGACTAAAGTTAGAAAGAACCCAGGTACTACTAGCTCTGTGATCTTGAGCAGGTAATAGTCTCTGTAAACCAGGTTTCCTTATCTGTGAAAGGGGTAGTTTCTCCCTCAGGGTCATTGTCAAAATTGAATGAGTTAATATTTATAAATTGCCTGGCACATAGTACTAAACATAGCGTTAAGTAAATAAAAAATAACACTTGACATAGCATATAACATAGACACACGCCCACACCCCAGGAAGTAATACCAAGAGAAAGTATATTTTAGGAAAGGAAGTGAAGGGCGGCAACTTAACGGACAGATAGGAAGAGTAACTGAGGAGTCTGTGTCCAGTTTGGATCCCACAGATACCTTTGACTTCAGATTTCTTCCTCTGTTTATCCGTGTATAATAGTTCAACAGGCGCAAGAAGTACATTTTCTCAAATACCACTCTCCTATTTAAGAATCTGCAGCCCCATCCAAACGTTTAAGTCTCGTATCCACATTCCTCAGCAAGGATTTCAAGTTCCTTCACTGAACTCGTCCTCCTTTTGTTTTATCTTCTCATCTCTTGTTAGAGATTATAAAGTAAGTCTAGCAGGCAAACCTGCTTGTCTTCATGACTTGTTCGTTCTTGTCTCCTTGTTCTAGCTCTTCTCCAGTCTTCTCTCACCACCATCTTCTCTCTGATGTCTTAGTAGATTAAGTGACCATATTCAGTGACATGCGATCTCACTGCCCCCTGATTCACGTTTTCTGTGGGTGTAGTTATTAAAGTCTCGTATTAATAAGTAATTTAAGAAACTTGTTATTTCTGTCCCCCTTTTTAATTTTAAGTTTCGTTTTGGAGTTTTTGCATCATAGTAGAGTGTTCCTAGCACAATGCCTTGCATTTAGTAAGCATTAGTGAGCAGTGGCTGAATTTTATCCTACTTCTCTCACTTGCAGTGCAGTATTTAAAGTCATCAAAAGGAGGTGTAGGTGTTGACCACTAAGCTGATGCTGTGGCTTGTTCTTCTGTGGAGGAGTGGTGGGAGTGTCTTTAATGTTTGTTGTCACCAGTGGTCCTTAAACTTGAGGGTGCCTCAGGATCACCTGGCTGGTTTGTTGGACGACAGATGGCTGGGTTCCACCCCCAGAGTCTCTGATTCTGTACATCTGGTGTAAGGCCCAAGAATTTGAATTCAGTTTGGTGACTACATTTTGAGAACCATCTCATCAAAGAAGTATTCAGTTGTATTGCAGTCAGAAGAGAAGTTAATAAAACCAAGAAATGAATGTAGAGGAATAAGAAAGTATTTGATAGTCATAAGTTTTCAAGCGTTAGGTAGTCTTAATTTTTGTGTCTGGGAACCCCCGGATATCTTTTATTAGAAAAGAGAATGAAGTGTTTTCAGAATTGTGGGTTAGCCTTCTGTAGCTGGGTAACGAATGACCACAGACTGATGGCATAAAACAACACACATTTATCATCTCTCAGTTCCTGTGAGTCAGGAGTTTGGGCATTGGTTAGGTGGTTCCTCGGCAGTTAAGGTGTCAGCAGGACTGTGTTGTCATCTAGATCTTGGGGTTCCTCCTCCAGGTTCGTGTGGTTGTTGGCAGAGTTCAGTTCTTTCCAAATGTAGGGCTGAGGCTCTTGGCTCCCAGAGGCTGCCTGCTTTTCCTCCCCACATTACCTTCACCATAGGCAGTTCACATCACTGCTGTTTGCTTCAAGGTCAGCTGCAGACTCTTCTCTAAACTGCTAAGATGGAGTCATATATATGAAATTAGAGGCCTGGTGCACGAATCCGGGGTGGGGTCCCTTGGCCTGGCCTGTGGGGATTGGGCTGAAACCAGCTCTCCAACATCCCCTGGGGGGTCCCGGATTGCGAGAGGGCGGTTGTTGGGTGATGCCCCCGGAATCGGCCTCCCTCCTCTCTGGTTCTGGGTTGAGTCACCGCTCGGTTCCACCTGCGTTGAACGTCTGCCCCCTGGTGGTCAGTGCGTACATAGCTACTGGCCGGTCGGCTGGTCGGCCAGTCGCTTAGGCTTTTATATATATACTAGAGGCCTGTAGCACGAAAAGATTCATGCCAGCTTAGGCCCAATCTCCCGGGGAGCAGGCCCAAACCAGCAGGTGGTCATCCCCCGAGGGGTCCCAGACTGCGAGAGGGCACAGACTGGGCTGAGGGACCTAGTTTGTGTACCGGGCCTCTAGTTTAAAAATATTTCTGTTAATTTTTCCATCATACTTTTAAGTCTTGAAACACTGATGAGGAAATAGTTTCTGAATATTCATAAAAATTTCAGGAAGAAATTTTGCCCTTTAATTATGATTTTAAAAAAATTAGACACTCAAATTGAAACCAGACAATCAGTGGGTCCAGGCTGCCTGTCACTCCTTGAGCCAAGTAAGCAGAGACAGGGTTGAATCATATGAGCGTTTATTCCAATAATGCTGGCAGTATGGGTGAGCAGCAGGCCATCTATGAAAATCTGCTCTGCATCCCCACCATAAGCCAGCTGCTTATATTGGGGTGGACAAAGATTACATGGAGAAGTAGGCAAAAGGAATAAGAAAAGGTATGCAATACGGGTGTCACTGGCATGGGGAAATAGGCAGTGCCAGCTGGGGTGAGACTCCATTGTTTGGGCAACCAGGTTGTTAATCTTTCCATGATAAATGCGAATGGACTGAATTTCAAGGTTGACTCCAGGTCTCTGGAGCTACAACTCCCAGCCAGGTTAGAATGTGCTTTCTTAAATTAGAACAAAACAATCAAGATTAAAAGAGCATGATTAATATGTCTTAAAACTACAGCTAGTCCCCAGTATTCTATTTCTGCACCTAAGAACATGCTTACTACTTACTTTATATACATACTAAGCATAAGTACATCACACAGGCAAACTTTTTTCAAACATGTGACTAGTGTAGCATTGTTTAAATGGTGGCTGGATGGATTAAGTAATGTTCCCACTTCTGGAAGTGGGAATTGTCCCTTACCGATTTTGTATGCCTTCTCCCCCACACCTAGTGTAGTGCTCTCTGTATGCCAGGCACTCCGATGTGTGTGTCTGATGAATGTCATCAACAGCACTTTTAAAGTTTTACATTATTATATACAAATATATGTTAAAATTCTCCCCCCCCTTTTTTTTTTTACTAAATAGCTCAATAACTTAAATAACACTTACTGTGGGGCAGGTAGTACTATAATTGCTTCAGGTGTATTATTAGCTTAACTAATCCTGGCAATCCTTTAAGGTTGAAGTTATTACCCCCATATTACAGGTGAAGAAACTATGACAAGTAACTTGCTCAAGGGCGCACAGATAGTAAGTACACGAGCAATGGTATCAAGTGGTAAAACAACTAGATTCCTCTAAGTCCAGGGATGACGGAGGTTGAGTGAGAAGGTGCATGAGCATGTTTGAATGCACACAGTGTGCATATTACCAATCTTGATTCTGTATAGTAAGTGAGAACTTATAAGTAGTACAGATTTTTCTGTTGAAACACGATAATATTATAAAGGTTGAATAAAAAATACCTGGCTGTGCTTGATAGTTTTTGCCTCATTTATATTGCTCCTCCAGTTTTATTATTCAGATGATGACATCATGTAAATAGACATATTCTCCAAGTTACTCTTGTACTGTTGTTTTCAGTTTAGAAATTATTCTGTTTGCTAGCGTGGAAAGGTTAACTCTGAATATTTTCTTTCATTTCTTAACAGTACAGCGCTGTAGATACCAATCCACTCTCTCTGTATGTCATGCATCCATTTTGGAACACTATAGTAAAGGTAAGATGATTAATAGGCATGCATTTGTTTTAGTAAGTTTAAAATTTTAAACTGTTTAGTAAGTTTTATAGATATCTTATTAAAACTGTCTGGTCATTAAACCGGACAGTTTTAATAAGCTATATCTAGAGAAACTACTCCTCCTATCTCCTTTCCCTTTTGATTTATCTCATTGCTGAAATCTCAGTTTATACTCTGGAATTCATAATTTTATAAAATTTTCTAAAATAAATGTAATGTTCGTTAAATATAGAATTATTTAAAACAGAATAGAAAGAAGAAAGAAGTGCTTTCTTCTATCAATTGCAGATTGTGGTTTGCATTTTATTATAAATAACTCCTGCATATGATCTTTTAAAAATATATGTTTTTGTTGATTTGAGAGAGAGAGGAAGGGAGATGGAGAAAGAGAAAGAGAAACACCAATGTGAAAGAGAAACAGCAATTGATCTCTTAAATTATAGCTTTTATTATAATTTAAACTTGCATGTTGTGCTGTGTGTGGACAGAGATATTTCTGTACTTTAATTATATTCTAATTATTTTGAAAAATATAGGTATTTCCTACTTGGCTGGCTCCAAATCTGATAACTTTTTCTGGCTTTCTGCTGGTTGTATTCAATTTCCTACTTCTGGCATACTTTGATCCTGACTTTTATGCTTCAGGTAAGATTATTACTTTTAATATAAAATTTGAAATGTCCAAACAGAGAAATGATACGATTATTTTCTGGTTTTATTAAGATGCTATATTTTTGAAAAGTTTTAGGTATAATAAGGGTATATAAAATGTCAAAATTGGGTATAAAAGCTAAGATGTGTTTTCACAGTCTGTATGTGTGTTTCTGTTAAGTTCTAGAAACTAACTTGCCTGTTTAATTTAGAAATGTTATCCAAAAGCATAAGGTTTTAGTAAATAAAGAATAACTGGATTTATAAGAAGATACAGGAGTAGGACTACAAAACTGCTTGAAAATGAATTTAAGTAGAGTCCAACCTACCTACCAATTCCAGAAATACCTCTTCCTTTGTTCTGGTTATAGGAGAAAAATCCCGTTTCCTAAAGGGAATGTAATGTTGCTTTCCCTCTGCTTAGCATCCTTACTTCTAACAATTCCCAGTTTCCTCTAAAAATGGTTGTTAGACCTTTAAGTATTTATTGACAGCATCTGGATCCTTGTTGGGGAAGACAGGGAAAAGTCACTTTTGGGGAGGCAGTTTTCAGCCTGCTCCCACCTGGGATTCCAGTGTCTTCTCTCACACCTATTCCTGTCTTTGCTGACTTCCTCACCCAGCTTCTGCTCTGGCAATAGGAGTGACTCTGGGGTGCATTTGGGCTGGGGGTGGATAGTGCGAGACAGGATCGATTTTTATCATTCATCCAGGTGATGAAGTTGCGAGGAATAGAAAGATGAAGGTAGATTAGTATTTTTTTTCATTCTAAGTTAGAGAATATATTTTCCAATAAGAATACTTATAAATGATGTAGTCAGGAGTTTTAGTATTATAATTCCTATGTA